CGTGACGAAGAACTAGTTCAACTCGAGGTTGCGCACATATTCAAGGCTTGTTTGCACATACTTTTCCATTTTCGCACTGATGTATAGTTCGTGAAAATCCAGTCCTTCTTTCTATTATTATTGGCGTTCATCTTACGTCCTCTGACTAAATTTGAACAATCGACGGTCTGTTATTCTTAAAACACAAACTTTGCTTACCAGTGTCCGCTTATTTCGCAGTCGGAACTTTGCTTCTCCTATTTTATGGCGACTTAAGTTAGACACTAATAAAATTACCCGCTAGGAGTTAAATCAAAAGGAGGTGTTTTCAACCCTCCATAGCATCGATTCGAATTTAGGGTGTGCCATTAAGCAAAATAGTGATCTTCTTTTCCCGCCACATAGGACGTGGCTAATATTTTCACAATTGTCTCAAAATTCTGTGTTTTCAAAAGAACATAACAAATATTGCTAGTCATCCAGAGTTGAGAAACCAGGAATTAAGTTTTTTGTGTTTGATAAATCCAAATGTACACTAAGCAAATGTCATGGGTAAAATTATGGCTTCGGTGTGTCAACTACGTTATCTAAGGCGGGTAGAAGTTGCCATGAAACACTCCGTTAGCACGGGGTTTTGCAATGGCCATGATCGTGTTGTAGGCCACAGGATGCGGTCTTGAGCCGCTACATTGTGTACTCGCTAAAATGAGGAAGACCGGAGAGGACGAGGCTCAACCACCTACTAGACAGCTCAACCGAATCGTGCTGTGATTGCTGATACCTTTGAGTGGACTTGTAAATATACAGAAGTCTAAATCGTCACATAAATAGAGAGGTTGGTGGTGGTGGTGGTACATACAGAGGGGTAAAAGAGTATACTGTCCCAGTGACTGATGGGCACGCCGTGAAATGGGCAACGTGTGTGCCAGTCTGTGACAACCGGGTTGGTGAACGTGAATCAACACGATCCTCTACGGTCGAATGCTACACAGGAATCCACCAAAAAGAATTCGCTTTTTGGCAACCGACGACTTCTCGCTAACGCTTCATCCGATTGTGTGGAACGTGCTTATTCAACCTGTAATGGAGAGATTCACTTCTTGTTGGATGCATATCTCGCAAGACGTCCTTCTGTCCTGCCACCTGCTTCAAGTCTGGGACAGTCCCTCAAACGAATCCTTACACGGCCAATAAATAAATACCACGCAACTTTTGACAATTTTTGCTGTACACTGGCAGTAATGATCTGCTAGTTGTAACCACATCTCGACTATAATTCAATGGCCTAACCGCTCCACACCCCTGGCAACACATGTATACTTAACGTAAGTTGTGTAAAGCAACGCTAATTAATACACACGTTTGTCCGGAATTTATTCAAATAGATGATTTTTACAAATAATGATAAAACAACATCTGGTGTTTACATTATCGTACAGCACTAAACCGTAATCATTTCAAGAAAATTATGCAAATATTACCAAAATTGTAATGAAATTGCAAAAATTAGCAATGTGTTTTTGTCAGCTTTGTTAGTTCTGAATGCAGTTTGTTTAAACCTATTGTGACGTATTTCACACACGGAATATCGGTGGACAACAGTTAATTTGTTATCTACCTGACAGGAATTCGTACATTCGGAAATTTGCCTGTCGTTGCTCACAAGAAGCATGAACGTCGACGTGAATGAAGCGAGTAATTGCATGCATTCCACTACGCTGTACTTAATGACATGATTGTGGATTTTGATCTAAAGTGGTTTTTACCGGTCAATACAATTGCTTTCACAAGTGAAAAGGGCCAAAACGCTTTACGAATCAGGAATTTAGTGTCTTTTCCAAGGCTGTGTTTAGTTGTGCATTTGCAACAAGTCACGCAGCCTGTGCATCGCAGCCGTATTTGGAAAGTGTCAACTTTCCAATCGTCAAGCCTCAAATCGAAGGGAATTGCAAAAAGTAAATTTAGGAGAACAAACGCGTTTCCCTCTTAGGCTTCTGCTAACGGACTTTCAATATTGACCACATTAACGTGGACGTCAACAACCCAGAATGCAGACGTTACGCTAGAATTAGGAGGAAGGTGACTAAAATGAAACAGATTTAACAGCGAAACCGCGTAATAACAGAATGGTTTTTACGGTATGTTCACAAGGCTTCGAATAATGTGAAACCCGCTGATCCGAAAGATACCAAAGTGACTTGGGACAGAGGTCTGCATACCTGCCATTGTCCCAGTACTACAAGTCCACTTAGCCAGACCATCAATATCTTTATGGTACTGCTGAAGGGACCCAAATGTTGTAAACCGTGGCGTGGTTCAAGGCAACAATTGGTGACCCCAACGTGATGATGTTTCTCCCAATTCCACGGCAACTGGTGACCCCAAAACGCAAGAATGTTCAACAACTAAACTTGTGACTTCTAACAAATCAATTATCTGTTTGGCATTCATTAGAGGAAAAGAAAAAATTTGCCTGATTTTGTTGTTATTTTCACCAGTTCAGGAATAAAATAGTGCAAATACGACGAAGGCAAGGAGTCCCAAGTGGGCGAAAGGTGTAAAGTACATGGCGATCTCTGCTTACAAACGGGTAAGATATGCTTTTGGCTAAATGCAAACTGGAAGATAGCCTCTGCACTTCGAGGTTCCACACAGACATTTCTTGTTTAGTGGTCCACATTCTTCGTGTGACATTTCGGCATAGTCATAGGTAAGTTCCTCTCCCGCGAGAATATCACGGGTTGTAAACAACGCCAGAGTGGGTCGTGGTGATTCAATTCGCACGGGAACAACCCGCATGTTGGGCTCGCAGGAGTGGTTAATCATAGTTGTGAGAGCCTGCTGCGACTGCGACGTGGCGATGTAGTAGGAGCCGTCTACCGCCGTCTCGCAGACGAGGCTCTTACATATGTAGTGATATTCTCGGACAAGCATAACGTAGACATGCCCAGTCGATCTGAGCTGCTTTTTGGCTAGAGAGCGCACGTCTCGCGGGTCGACTTTACGTCCAGCGTATACGCAGACGAATTCACCTTGGCGCAGATTTCGTGAGGCACGGACACCTCGTCCTTTTTCGCCTGCATCGAATAAACTCAGAGCGCTGACATCATTCAGGCGCCTTTGAACTAGTCGATTTGGACAGGTCTCAGGCTTGCAGGAACACTCGGAGTTGCACTCGTACACTGCACGGTGCTCTCGTGATTCAAGTTCAATCTCTTTCATAAGCGCCGGGTAATGCTTGATGCAATTGGTGCCCTGAGAACGGTTAATGCACATGCAATCGATAAATCTGCTACAATTTTCCGCGCAGCTGCAGCCGGGAACTCTGGCGATGCAATCCACCATGGTGATGTGTGGGCTTTAGCTCACCTACGATTGAAAACTAGATATGATTATATAGCAAAACCCAACCCAGCTTGATAACACTTCCAATTTAAGTGCATAGTAAGTAATATTTTCTTGGGAAACACTAGTGATATTGTGATGCCTTAAGGTCACTAAGACTCATGTATCCGATCTTGGAAACAGATGGAAGCGCCAATGAGATGCAAACATAAAGATGGGGTTGAGTAAATGTCATTACTGTTTAAACGTGGCCTGGCGACAAATACATGCCGAAAGCGTTCACTAAACGAGCAGTATTTAATTCGTCATAACTTAAAACACAACAAAGCCAAGTGTAAAAAAATTGTTGGTAGTTGAAGTGAGTTAAGTTACGAATGTTCTCTGCCGATCAGTAGCATACGAAGGTTCGCATACACACGCACGTGTTAAACTAGAAATTTGATGTACGTAGAAGTCGCAGAGTTACCCCGTGGCCTGTCAATTGTTCGTGCATTCAAACTCTCACACTTGAAGACTTATGCAGGATGAACTGCAAGCAAAACGCAAAATCACGATCGAAGACTCTGTCCAAACAAATTCATCGTTAAAAAAAACTCCGTCAAAAAAGAAGTCAAACTTTGTCAAAAATGAGTATATTCGCACGTTGCTTTGACAGTCGCCAAAAGTGACAGGATGATAGAGGATTTGATGATGAAGACTAGTGGGTTTAGATGAAAGTGAAAGACGCAAACAGAAATTGAGGCAAGTGTTCACCATGACGGATGCGTGACGCTGGGTGCGCTTGACTAGGTCGGATTCTGGTCATAAAAACAACACAGATTGATCAGCAGGTAAGTAGAAGGCACGGACTCCTGCATGCGAAGGGTAGTCCGTTTCCATTCTCACCATGTCTTTCAGAAGCTCGTAAACCTTTGCAGCTACTGTGACTTAGAGTAGATAGCATTCTGTTATTATGTTATTTTTAAAACTCTTCTACTTACCAAGGAATCACCTTATTTACCATAACGTTTTTTAGTGTTTTAAAGAAAACAATGAATTTAAAACCTAGTTTTATAAAAAAAAAGGTCGTGAGAGTGGAAATCATTACACCTTTAACATGCAACACAATCCAGCCGGTAATAGGCAATCTAAGCAGTCACAGGATGTGATTTTGTTTAGATAAAATTTGCAAGTACTTGGTTGGAGCCAAATGTAAATACTTCACAAGCAAACTCAGGGGATAAGTCTACTATAAAAAGACACAAATTCCAGCAAAACTGTTAGCTGTAGAGACATCAGCTACCTTTGATGGAAACGCTGACACCAGTCCACGGCATACCGCGTTTGATGAAAAATGTCACGCATGGTGTGACGAACTGTGGCCACGTAGATTAAGTTATGAAAATCTTGTCAAAAGGTGGTCACGCAGAAAAAAGGATCTGGTTTGTGTAGAAATATTCTACATTTAGCGTTCAAAGATCAAAAAATTTTGCTGATAGCGCTGAGATGACATTGACTGATCAGTCACAAGCCCTGGCAGATCTACGTGTCCTGATGCGTCGGTTCGAGAAGTTATGCAGCGTTGGTCTGACAGTCCACAGACCAGAAGTCAACGATAAAACTAGTCCTTACACTCAGAGCAGAGAGCTTTAGTCAAGTTTTAAATCACGCGCATGACTAGTCCTTCTGACACCATCTCATTGCTAAACACTACTCATCAAGAGTACACAATTCACTGGACACGACTCACGCCAAGCATTACGCAGTAGTCATAACATCCACTACCTGTTCATCCCGGACTTTTTGTAAACTAAATATTGTTTTCGTGAAATCCTAATTCAATCTCCCTTTTTTTAAAATAGCATGTTAAGAGACTGCTAAGTGAAGTCAATTCGTACTGTAAAGACAAGGGATTATATCGGTAGAATCCTTTACTCTGGAAGTTCCTGCTTTTTCTTACTTACAGCAGCCAATGCAGGAAACAGTTTGGATTTGATTTAACGTGTCAATGAAGTTACATGTGTACAAGCATGTCATGCATGTGCAAAATGCCGAGCAATACCGAAACACGTTAGTCGACTTAAAGGCATTAGAATACAAATGGACGCACGGACACTTGACTAATTACCGGGAGATGCGACACCCAAATACAGGTTAGTACCAACGACGGCATCTCAGTGTATCAGAGCCTGAATGATGGGCGCAATATTTCGGGTGGATAATGTTTGCGGGGACTGTGGTCTGTTTCTTCCTTTGGTGTTAGGGTATTTTACAAATGGTGCGGAATAATGCTGGATATTACAAAGGCGGTCATTTGCCATGCTTCATCTGCCTTGTCTTCAGAAAAAGTCTCCTTGTCCTCATTTTTTTCGCATTCAGATGTCGATCCACCTCAATTTTTTTAAAAATGCAGTCCCAGCTTGATTTTAGCCCCGTAACCAATGTTTTGTACTGTCAACCAAAGAAAGGTTGCTCGAAATAGAATCTACCGTGTAAAAAATCAGCAAATAAGGATGCGTCCATCCGTTTGATGGGAAAAAGCAGTTAACTTGGACACAAAGATGCCTTCGAGTAAAGTCGTTTTTAGATAACCGCAGGATTTAAAAGTAACTTGGGTTCATAAGAACATCGTTGCCCACAAATCCCGGCAAACATATTGTGACTATGAGGAAATCTATTCCACATAGACGCAGACACTCCCAATAATGCCTTGCTCAATTTAACTACAGAACTGACGAAACAGATGCGTAAAAGCCAACTGGTGCCTGTTAGGGAATAGGGATTTGGCTGGGTCAAGAGGGCGCGTAGATATTGAAGTCAGATGACCATGCTGATTTGTGAGGTTCAGTGTGTCCGCTTATGCGCAAAATGACGCGTGTCGCACAGTTAAACCCGAACAGCCGCTTACTAGCCTCACCAACCACTCCTGCGACCCCAATATGACTATATTTCTGATTTATCAAACTGCCAATAATTCAACCACTTTTCCTCACTTCAATTGACGTAGATAGCCTGTAAATTCGTGTCCATCTTTCTGCCCTATCAGACGAAATATCAGTGTTTGGAATTTAGTATTCCAGGATTTTTGACCACGCACTAGTGTGTGTCAGATGATCACTCCAATAACCCACATTAACCAACCTGATCGCTGATGCACTTGTTTGGGACTCTGGCAGTTTGGCATAAGCCACAGCGTTTAATATAGGCAGATTACGCTACACGGATACCCCGAAAATGAAAGAGACCAGAGAGGGCAAGGCACGACGGTTTACTTAATCGCTCAGGCCGATTGTTTGGTTCGTGCGAGTTCACTAAGTTTAGAGCACGACTCCTATGTCTTTGTTGACTGATACGGTCTGAGTGACGCAGCAAAATGAACGCATTCATGGTCAGATGGCGAAAGCGGCTAGTAGTGGCACATGCAAAGGGGTCAACGAGCAGACGTTTAGGCATGAGTGACAGGCTCGCTCGCTCGGTGTGAAAGGAACTGGTTATTTAATGTCTGAGGCGACAGTGCGGGTGAACACGAGTCATCGCAATACACCACATACTAATTATATCTTAGCGCATTGCACCGATTGCTTGCTACTGGTAAGCAATCATTTGCGTGGGGAAGAAATGAAATTTGTCGACATTACACAGAGACAAAATATGAGTGCGGTTGCTTGGATTGCACTCGATAAGGGGCTTTGGCTAAACACTCCTCGCTTACCCTCACAACATGGTACAATGTCAGACACCGTCAGTTAGGTCACTTTAACTTGCAACCAGTCTCACCTCCGCGTCTTCGCAACAAGCAATTATGATTTTGGCACGGAACCAATGGAAATGATGGGTCTGTTGTTCTCGTTAGTGTAACTAATGGCGTGTTCCTTCGTGCACGTGTGAACTAGGGTGTGTGAAGCGGTCATGTGAAAGCGGAGTGGCCACCGTCACCAGCGCGGTAATTCGTACAATTGGACCAATCACGCTCTTTGCGCACATTGGTAACTTGGGCCTCCTCGCGTGCAAACCTATAGCAATTAGCTCTACAGGGCAGTTGACCAGGAGTGACACCGTCCTGATAATCATAATGCAAAAAACGATAGTGGACGATAATAGCTCATTGGAAGGCAGATCTCGCCTTGTGGGAAATCAGCTTTTATGAGAGGCATTAATTTAGTGAAGGCTATCAACCTGCTGAGGTGACGTCACGTGTGTACTTGACAACGCTGCTCCCTGTCAACATTCGGGGAGATGACTGTCAATGTGCTATTCTAGATATTCCTTTTAAGCAGCGGTTGCTGCCGAAGTCTGTCATACAAATTCACACATTTTGCGATCATTGGGATCGCGGGAGCTTTTATTAGTTGTTATCGTGAGTACTCATAATTATGGCCTAGTTTGATTTAATTGGCCAATCGCTTAATTCAGTTCAAGCATGTAGTATCTCCAACTCCCGCTCTCAACTCCATCATTACTAGCTGCAGAAAAAATTTGACCTTTCACAACTTAATCCGACTTAATTAGACCACCGTGCTAATTGCTTCAAAAGCTTAGACGTGGGAAAAAGTGTGAAGAATGAGTATTCTTCACATATTACCTGACGTGATAGTTAATGCCTATATCATGGCTAATTCATCGGGACTTACACGGTAACGTTGAATTGTCTCTAGTTACCTTTATATATCACATTTTGCCCGTTCCTTTCTCTGTATAGCGCTGTTTATAAAAACTGGGATTTATACGTTTTGTACCTAGGACACAAGCTTAGCTAGCAGCATGCAAGCACCTTGAAATGAAATAAATGGACCGTTCGTGTATTAATAGTCTACAAATACAAGACTGGACTAACCGTCAAGGCATTGACTTGATCAACACAGCATACAGCATTTGGCAAAAAATTTTCAGGTAACTTGTTCTTGCATGTCTACTTATTGTTTCAATGACTAAATACTGCAGTATTAATCATTGGTATCAGACTCATGGTTTTCTTGTTATCCTAGTTCTGTGCTCCTGTGTTCATCCAAATACAATGACAC